AGAAAATGGACGCGGTGCTAGTAGGAACGCAGAAGTGGCGGGCGTTTGATATTGCAGCGGTCACGCCGAGGGCGCGGGGGTGCTGGGTTGAGGTGCATGAGAAGAAGGAGAGTGAGGTTGTGGAACAGGGTGAGAAGAATTGGTGGCCGAGGGGACTGGGTGCGTGGAGTGTGGGGGCTTGGATGGAGGATGTGGATTGGAAGTTGGGGGAGGTTGTGGAGTGGACGGTGTAGGTATACGATGACGCATGCGGAAAGAGCGGACGTCACATCTGACAATCGACTTTTTGCTGTTTATCCAGGTAGGCGCTGGAATGCGGTACATTTTACTATGTCTTCTCATCTCGTGTAGTGAGGGTTGAGGAATTGCAAGGCGCTTGGCTACGCGGATTGTTTTCTCATCTCGGATGATGGGAGTTGTAGAGCGCGCGCTGATGCTTCCCTGTCGAAGTAGATGGAAGTAAAAGGCGCGCCTACTATGCGTTTGTTTACACTGCCTTGGTGCAGTTGCCTTGAAAGCGCGCACGAACGCAAACCACGTGGGATTAGATTGGACCCTTCATTGTCACTTTACTGTCACTTTGCCCTCAGTCTAGCAATATCTCGTACAGGAATCGCGCGCATACTCAACTTCAATCACACTATCTTCACTCGCGTGTATTGCTCTTTTCACATTCAGTTAGCCTCTACCTCTGTACACAACACCAAGCGCATGCCACTCAAACGCATGTTGATATTGGTGAGTGTGCGCCAAGTGAACCCCCAATCTGCAATCTCAACTAACATGGACACAGTCAGTCATATTGATAGCTATACTATTCATCATGATGCGCTCTTTCTTGCCGTATGACGTCCGCTGGACAGCCAAGCTACTCCGCCGCGATGTACGAAACTTCCGGGCGAAATACACTACACGATCAAAGCACCAAGGCGCCCCTGTAGACGCTGCGACAAGTAGCTCAGCGCATCAACAGGCTTGTACCAAGAACGTATCACAACTGCCGCAAGGTGTTCAGTGCAGCAATCTCTCGTCACATCATGCCGGCCAAGACAGCGTATACTCCAAACCACCCCAAAATAGTCCCGGGACTCCCCAAATCAGCAGAGAGAACTGTCCCGGTACACTCTACGACCTCCTAGAAAGCAGACTTAGGGCTACGTATGATTCTCGCGACCGCGACATGTCGCACGAAGACCGTTGGAGATTCCGCGGTAGCTGGCTAGTGCTCCACAAAGCTATCCAAGGATGTCGTCCGGACGAGAGTGACGATGCCTCCAGCATCGGCACGAATGGATCCAGTGAGAGTACAATGCTTCTGGATATGCTGAACCAAAGCACTCGATTACCTACACCCAAGGTCAGCAAGATACCAGCTGCATCATATACCCGACATGGCAGCGAAAATGACCGCTATGATTCCATGTTCGGCGATGTTCCTACACCCACAGTCACACCGTCTCCCACGCAGCTGTGGCTGTTCATCCTTGAAGCCACCGACGACACCCAGAAGATTGCACCAATGGCTGAACAGCTCCTGGGGTACATTTCGCAAGAGAAGAAAGCTTTCGACATCATCGAGCAGGTCGGAAACCCCCACAAGAAGTTTTCCGATGCCGATGACGCTCAACTCCGACTTCAACTCCGAGAATTACTGTGTCCGGAGACAATGTCGTCCAGACCATCATGCTGACTTCACCGCCAATATCCAGCACAGTCTTGGTTCTCGGCGTCTAGGGCGAATCATATACCGGGTCGGAATAGAGGTGTGCTGAAAACCCTTCGTCGGCAGCGGGCGATACCGCATTGCGAGTGGTTGCCGAAGCGGCAGAGTGGGTCTATTGGTCATGGCTCTTTACCCCTCCTGTGGCATCCAACGTACTTATACCGCTCGGGGAGCTCGACTATGCAACACCAAACCGCTCGGGGAACCACAATCTGCGACTCAAGTTCGGCGCGCATCATCGATTGGGAGGTACTTCAGGGCTGCGAGGACGCTTTTCGGGGACTGTGCAGGAGCTTGCGACATCTTTCACGCCTTTGACATCAACTTGCCAGCGCAATAACGCGCATCGTCATACATATTAGACGAAACCTCCCCCCAAACCAATTCGACCCTTCGTATGAGCAGCGAACCAAAAGGCAGCACGCCAGGATCACTTAGCCCACACAACAACTTGACCAGAGTTAACACTTACCCTCACGCCGAATTTACGATCCCGCCATCGGACACACTGTCACCATGCCCAAGTGCCCAAACTCACAACGCCGATGCCCCGGCATCGGCCAACTCCAAGGAGAATCGCCCAAGCAACACTGCAACTGGAGATGAAAAAGCTCACCGACCTCTTGATGAGGAATCTCGTTCAACGTCCATCGCCAATGACGAAGTAACCTATCCAGAAGGTGGCCTAGGTGCCTGGTCGGTTGTTCTAGGGTCATTCCTTGGACTCATCGCATCCTTGGGTATGATGAACACAGTCGGTATCTACCATGCCTACATTGCCGAGCATTACCTTGCAGACTATACCGAGTCGACCATCTCATGGATCTTCAGCATGTACGTCTTCCTGTCGTTCTTCTGCGGACTCCAGATTGGACCCATATTCGACGCGCACGGCCCGAAGCTATTGGTGCTGGCAGGTAGCATCCTGCTGTGCTTGTCAAACTTCCTGCTTGGGATTTGCACACTGTACTGGCACTTCTTCCTCGTCTTCGGCGTGCTTGGGGGACTCGGTACGTCGTTGATCTTCACGCCTGCGTTCGCCGCAGTCAGCCACTTCTTCCTGCAAAAGCGAGGCAACGCAACGGGTATCGCCGCAGCTGGAGGATCGCTGGGTGGTGTCATATTCCCGCTGGCGCTGGAGAAGCTGCTACCAAGGGTTGGCTTCCCTTGGGCGACTCGCATCATCGGTTTCATCACGCTCTTCTGCTGCATTGGTGCCTGCTTCCTGATCCGCTCCCGCCTACCACCCAAAGCTGGACAATCAGTATGGCCGGATTTTCGAATCTTCCGCCACAAGAGCTACTTCCTGCTCACGGTCGGCATCTTCATGATGGAATGGGCACTCTTCATCCCGATCACTTACCTTACAACCTTTGCGGTCAGTACTGGCGCATTCAGCCCGTCATTCTCGTACCAACTCATCGCCATCTTCAACGCGGGAAGCTGTCTTGGTCGATGGGTTCCAGGCTTCCTAGCTGATAAGCTCGGGCGCTTCAACAGCATGATTGCTGCACTCGCCATTTGCTCAGCTACATCGCTAGTCTTCTGGCTGCCCGCATCGCTACTCACCCCCACCTCCGCGGCCGAAGCTACGGCTATCAAAGCACTCTCCATTGTCTACGCGGTCTTGTTTGGTTTCGCATCTGGCTCCAATATCTCATTGACACCAGTCTGCGTCGGCCAGCTTTGCGATACGAATGTCTACGGCAGGTACTACGCTACCTGTTACACCGTGGTCAGCTTCAGCACGCTTACGGGCATTCCTATTGCGGGTGCGATCATCCAGTCCACTGGTGGACACTACTGGGGAGTGGTTATCTGGACCGCAGCTTGCTACGTCGTGGCGTCACTTTGCTTTGTGTGGAGTCGCGCACTCCAAGTTGGCTGGAAGCTGGGTGTGAAGTTCTGAGAGGTGGTGTTGGCGGCCACGTGGGTTTGCGGGGATGTTGAACGTGCAGCGACTTGCCAGCGTACTCGTCGCTGCCGTTGGAATGCGATTCGATCGCTGTAACAGGAGGATGATGCAATACGAGGGGGACACAGATTGGAAAAAGAAGGCGGGAATTGCTTTTGCGCACTTGCGTACTCGACTGTGGACGGCGGTTTCGCGTCCTCTTACACTCTTTACTTGGTTTTAGGACGATCTTTGCGGGCATAGTACACGAAGAATAAACACTCTTTCTTGCGCATGATCTTAGCAAACCAGCTCCTATTTTGAGTTTCAACGTGATACCGAGCTGGCGGATGATCTCCCGCTATTCGGAGCAGCCACCGCAGCTGGAATCCCTTGCCTGCGATTCCCATGCATCACCGCGGCTAGAATTCGACTTTTCGTCCAATCTCCACTCAATAAACGCCTGCACACTCGACAACATTGTTGCGGAAACATTGTACCCGTAGCATTGGCGCCGTCTGCGTGGCCAAGGACGACGGCGCGCAATAGCGAGGCGATGGAGGCCACTTTACCCCTGAGCCAATCCAGCTACAAACACGTGGGTCGGCTAGCGAAACGCCGCAAGCAGCACCGGGCGCACCTCCCTCCGAACATCGAGCGCGAAAGTATCGCGTCCTCCGTCGCCATTGACTTTGCTTGTTGTTCCGCCTCGCGTCCATCGCCGTCACGACGCATTGGCTCGCAGCGTCCAACAGCAAGATCTGCACCGCGCCATTGCCCCTCTATAGTTAGTAGCATCTCCGTCATTCGCGGACCGTCGCGAGCAAGCCAAGCGAAAAGACAACTGTACAACGCCTCTGGGATTCCTTCTGAGATGATTGACAACAGCAAGCGCTGTAGCCTGCAGGGAAGCGCTGCGGCGATCGCCCCAGGCGCACCGTTCCGCGAGAATGCGAGTCGTACATCTGCCGTCGACTGAATCCAGGCACCTAGCTACCCGTTTCGGGACTACAGAGAGGCGCGATTAGGTTTGTAGCACGACAAGGCACCCGTTATTGGTAATTGAACCATGGCTCCTAGCGGTAAGCAAGGCGAAATGGCACGACAACCGCGACGAGAATGACTTGATTCGTGGGCGCGCCACGATTTCAGCTCCTCCAATTTGGCAAAAAGAAGGGGAAAGGTGGGGAGCGTACTTGTCAAGCTCCTGTCGCTCTTGTAGCTTTCTTCTGTGGTGGGTACCCGGATGCTTTTCCTTACCCTGCATATTTTCTTTTGTCGCTATCCTGAACCCTGATTGTCTGCTTTATCAGGCCTTGATGTCAGGTCGCGAGCATGAAATCTAAGTCTTGCGGTTGCCTCACTAGCAGATACTCAAGCGACATGGAGCCCCCAATTCCCCGCAATATCGACCTTGATCTGGATCGGGATACGACGAGGCCGACTGCGTTGAAACGAAAGGGCTCAACACTTCAAACATCGGTGGAGGTTATGAGATGCAAGTTTGGGAAGCCAGCGGGATCACCGGAGGGCACTGGCGAGTTCAAGCCATCGAAAGATTGGACACCGATATACTATGCTGTCTACCACCAACGCGAGGCAGCGCTCTCACATTTCCTACGCGCTGGCGCAACACCGAATGATGTCGCTGGCTTGGGACTCCCACCGTTATGCATCGCCATCGCCAACGGCTACGCGAGTCTGGCGAGAATACTGTTAGATGCTGGTGCCGATGCCGATGCTGTGATCAAGACCAGCGGCGAAACAGCCCTTCACATAGCCGTCAAGAATGGCCGCAGCGATCTCATCGAACTTTTGATCCCATACGGACCCAACCTCGAGACGAAGACGAACGACACCGGCGAGACATCCCTCCACTACGCAGCGTCAAAGTCCGGATCATTGGCCACAGTCATGACTTTGCTCAAGCATGGCGCTAGCTACGAAGCGCTCAACGGTCTCGGTCAGACGCCAGCCGAAGCTGCCCTACACGCCAACAACATACAAGGCGCCGTAGCGATCATCAACGCCGCACATGGCAAGCGCAACAAGCTCGAGAAAGAGAGGGAGCTGCTGCTGAAGCACGTGAAGAAGACACAGGGCCGTTTCTCCGTAGGCAATGACCTCATCGCGGATATCTTCGCCGCAGCTTGCGATTCAGAGTCCAACGTCCTTGTGGAGGCCATCAAGAGAGATGACGCGAGCTTGGTGGAGATGTTTCTAGAGAAAGGCTCGGATCCGGATCGAGAGACCGCCAACGGCCTTCGTCCCATCTTCGTCGCATTGGAATGTGCCGGTGCGCCAGTAATAAGTGCACTACTGAAGCGCAACCCGGATCTCACCATCCGCGACAGAAAGGGCCTTACTGTACTCCAGGCCACCTTCGAGAGCCCACTAGCCCAAGAGAAGGAGACCATGTCTATCATTCTGGGTGCTCTGCTTGAGCAGGGCGCTGACGCAACAGTGACATACCCGGACGGCAAGACACTGCTTCATCATGCCGTATCTCCTCGTTTCAGCCATCCTAAAATCGCGCTTCAGCTCATCGACGCTGGCGCTGAGGTCAATGCGAGGGACCAAGACGGCGACACGCCTCTCCATCTCGCAACGCACAGTAGAGTCTGCACAGAGCTGTTGCTAAGACAAAGAGCAAACGCAGATCTTACTAATGCTGAAGAGCTTACGCCTTTGCTCAATGCTACAACGAACAGTGCAAAAGACCAGGAGCCAGATCTGGAGTCGCTCATCAAGGCATCTGACCTCCGCAAGACCAACATGAACGGACAAACAGCGCTGCATCTTGCCGCATCCAATGGATTGGAGGCGACTGTGCAGTCATTACTACGAGCCCGGGCAAACACCGCCATCGGCGACAAGAACAAGAACACGCCGCTTCTTCTTGCCGTAAAGCATCACCAATGGTCCATCGTACCACTGCTCACGATACCACCGAGCATCAACTCCTGGGATGAAGACGGCATGAGTCCTCTCCATCTCATTGCTTGCACCGTACCCAAAGCGCCGGCGACATGGAACGACATCGCCGCCATTGTTGGCCCCTTCTGCGAACGCGGCGTCAGCCGGACTACACGCGAGCGATCAGGTGCTACACCGCTCATCCTTGCCATCAAGACACTGCCGGAGGACGGCTTACCCGTGATCGAGGCCTTGCTAGCACAGAAGGCGGACCGCAAAGCGAGTCGGAACTGCGTCAACCACGAAGATCACAAGAAGCAAGATGCGCTGTTCTACGCGGTGACGACAGGCAAGCCTATCTTCGTGGATGCGCTGCTCAAGCATGGTGCCACATTCGACTTTGAAGACTGGGTACCTGCCAAGAGCAAGTTGCAGTCTTCAGTGGCGGCCGATAAGCAGATCTTGAAGCTGTTCGCACAGTACGAGTGGATGAAGCGTGCAGGGTTACTACGAAGACGGCCTAGCAATCCTGTTGCGGAAGTCTCGTCTTTCTCCACGACGTTGCCTGTCAAGGACCTTGAGCAGATGGTCGCGATGGGTTTGGATGTGAATGCTTTACCGCGATCAGCTCTGGGCGTCTCTTTGATATGCGCGGTCCTTCGCCACATTACTCTTCACCCGCCAATGCCCGCGGAGTACGTCTTGAGCATACTCAATGTGGTTCTTGATGGAGGTGCGAACCCGAACGCGGGCATTCCCCGAAGCTCAATGCGTTCGTCGTCGCCACAGTCTGCGCCAGAGTCAACGCAGACCTCTATTCTGACGCAGCATCCGCTCACCTTCTTGCTTGAAGAGTGCCCGGAAGTCGCATTGGATGTCCTGATGCTGCTGGTAGTGAAGGGTGCGCAGCTTACTATCGCATCTCCGTTTTCCAACGGCCGCTTACCACTTCACTCGGCGGTTGTGGCGCATCGCTTTGATGTGGTGCAGGAGTTCCTGCTGCACGGGGCGGACGTGAACAGTATCGATAACAAGGGACGAACACCACTCTTCATGGCCGCTGAAGGTGGGGATTGGGAGATCTTGAACTTGCTGCTTCGAAGCGGCGCCAGCATGGACACGCTCGATGTAGAGAACAACACACCCTTGCACGCCGCAGCTGTCGGTGGCAATGACAAGATTGCCTCCTCCCTCCTCCTTGAAGGCGCCAAAGCAAATGTAAAGAACGTGGCAGGCCTGACACCCATGGCATGTGTAGGCGACAACTATTCCGAGGAAGGTCGGAGCCTAATCGTAGCCATGCTCAAAGAAGCCGAAGAGAAGGAGCAAAAAGACAAGGACGACCAACAGAAACACATCGAAGCAACCGCCGCGCACGAAGCCAAGATCCAGCAGCTAAAAGATGACGAAGCGAAAGCAAAGCTCCAACAAGAGCAAGACGCGCTCCTCCGCATCCAAAAAGCCAACGAAGAAGCCGCAGCTCAACGTCTCCCCCAGCAACAACACCAACAACAGTCCCTCCCCGCCCCAATGCCCACATCACCACCACAACCCACAACGCGCAAGCCCTCCTTCCTCTCCCGAAAGACCTCCCTCTTCTTCAACAAGTCCAAAGCTGCGACCCCACAACTCCCTTCAGATACCCTCCCCAAACCAAAACAAGCATCCCTCCTCCGCCTCCGCATCAACACACCACCCACCAAGTCCCAATCTCACCCAAACTCCGACCTCACGCCACCCCCCGTCATCACCAACCGCGCCATCCCCTCCCCCCACATCCTCGCCAGCCCCGACTTCTTCAGCACGGAGTTCAACAATATGATGGACCCAACACGGCCTGTTATCGCGTTGCCGGCGGCGATACAGCGGCGCACGACTGCGGCGAGAGTGGATAGTGGGTTGAGTGAGAAGCGGGGAAGTAGGAGTAGTAGTAGTGTGATGGGAATTTTGGATTTGGAGATTGTGAATGAGAAGCTAAGTAGTCCGAAGGTGGTTCAGAGGGAGAGTGGAGGGGAGTTGGCGGATTGGTTGGCGTTGACGAGGTTGATGGATGGGTTGTGAGAGGTTGACGTCTCTTTTCTTGAGATTTGACGACTTCGTTTTTGTTTATACCAGATCTTTCTTCTTTTTTGCTTCTTCGATATTTCATAGCTTTCACGTTGGCGATATCCTTGCGGCATATCTTGGAGTGCGCTTTCCTTTGTAGTAGTGGTACTTGCCTGGAGGTATACGATGCTAGGATGTACATGTTGATACCCGGACTTTTGATTCTGTACAATACACTTGTTGACCAATTGTCCCAGTTGGTCACCCTGTTGCAATTCAAGTGCGTACAACAATTGCTATCGAATCTACCCCGTGTCCCAAGCGTTTGAACCTCATCTACGTATGCCGTGCTCTCATCCTTCAACTTCCTCTTCCTCATCGTCATCATCATCCTCTTCCCAATCAAACGCCCCCTCCTCATCACTATCCTCCAGCAATCGATCGACAATATCATCCTGATTCTTCCACACCCGCTTCACAAGATCGAAAACCCAATCCGGCCTAACCTCCACCTTCTCCGCGGCCTTCTTAAACCGCTCCTGAACACACACCAACCCATTCTCCACGTCGTCATTCGACGGCACTTTCGTCCTAACCATCCCGAGAACATCATCCTCAATCACAATATCCAAAGTCTCGAGCTGAGCCTTTGCGATGTCGCGGAAGAAGTTATTCCAGTTGCCACAAAAAGCGTTGACAATAGTCAGGTGTTTGAGACTCTGGTGGAAGTGGTTCAAACAGTCTGGGTGCCATAGAAGAACATCCGCCGAAGCTTCAAATCGTGGGTCGTATCGAATGGTTAGGGACTCAAGTTCTGCTGCCTTCCAGCCGTGGGTGGCTGGACCCGGATTGTTCGCAGATCTGACCTGGCCAAAATATAAAGTCAGGTCGCGTAGGCTGGGGAAGCTGTCATTGGTTAAGAGTATTTCGGTGTGAACCGGTGGGGGGGTCTCTCGAGAATAGACATTTGTCAAGGTGAGTCTGTCGTCGTTACTACTCCCAACACGAAGGAATCTCAACGATAGGTGGTTGAGACATAGCTTGTTTGTTTGTGTGAGAACCTCGCTCAAGACGTATTTCGAAACGGAGGTCTTGAAGGATTGGAATCCAATAGAAGGTACTGGCATTGCGAAGTTGGTTGGGTGGATTTCGGCTCGCTGTAGAGCTCGAAGTGCAACGTCAAGGCCGATCATCATCCCGCTGTATGCGATGGCCTCCGAGCTTGCGTCTCGCTTTGAGCCCCTGGCATATGGGCTCCTACATCCCTGTAAGCGGCCGTGCTCTTCACCAACTTCCTTGAAAAGCGTTTCGTAACGGCTCCAGGCATCGATCTCGGGTTCGACGAAGGCGAAAGTATGTAATTGCTTGAATGGAGCCAAGCTTTTCGCGATGGTGGTTATCAACCCCTCTTTTGCTAAGACGTATTCCGCGACGACATCGTAATGCGCCCCATACAATCTGGGGTGTACGATGGAAGAGGTCCATACATTGCCGAAGACGGACTTGTTTTCCTCTTTCAATTTTTCCCAACGCGACTCCAGATCAGGTAGAACTATTGTTCTCAACCAGCCCACTTTCGCCTCTGAAGAGGACTCGGGAAAGAGGTTCTGTGCGTATTTCCTACTCCCAGCTACCCTGTCGTTTTCCATCTCTTCTGAAAGCGTTGAAGCGTGCGCGAACCTTTCCAACAAGGCGGTTCTGCGTTGCACCCGGAATCTGTCCTGAGCCGACATCGTACGTTCCGTGCCTTCTTTGATCGCATTATTATGTCGATGAGTTGCTTCGTCTCTGAGAGCGACAGGATTTTCGTGATATTCCTCATAACAGCAAGTCATGCGAAGAGACTTGATCGCCTGGGCTAAGGCATCCACCTTGCTGATTTCACTCAACGAACGAAGATCATGGGGACTACGAATATCCCAAGCCTATGGTAAGATATCAATGTCAGCTGTGCCGATCGTACTAGACGACGTTCCGCTCCCAGCGCAACTTGTCCTTGCGTCGAAGCCGGTGATGTACATACCTTTGCTTGAAGAGCCTCGACAAGGTGTGATTGGGCACATGCTTTGAATCGCTTGTTCACCAGTCGCATCACCGCCATTGGCGTGCCACCAGCGACCACCAAGTCTGTAATGAGGTTTAGTAGCTCGTTCGGTAGACTGCCGAGTTGCGCTTTGTCATCGCCGATATCTGCCATAACCGCGTCTGTAGATGCGGCCATTGTCGGTCCTGGAATGCTCTTTATGTGTCCTAAGGATATTAAGTATGAGGGCGAAAGTTGACATCAAAGACGGTAGCGAAGTGTGCCCAGGTGGCACAGTACATATGTACCTCCGTAGCAGTGGGGTCGTCTAGCGTGGTGCTAGCCGTCATGAGCAGACCCCAGTACCAACTCTTGGAAGGCCTTCGCGTGCCATCGTTCCTTACATCAGCTCATCACTTATCGTGTTGCGCCTTTGTCATATGAATCATATGCGATTGCTAATCGTTTTTGTTCTCGAAGTTGAAAGCAGTAGTACAGTGTTGCAATGTTGCTTCTCGGATAGGTGTGCGGTGGCTAGTACCATGCGCTGGTAGGAAAGTCATCAGTACATCAGCGACGCGACGTGACGATGCTTGGGGACTTCATCGGTCATTCAAACAAGTATGGTGTATCATGGTAAAACCAGGTATAGATTGAAATAATTCCCTTGTCCCATATCATGGCTGCATACAACCGAGGGGAACCCCACACTTTCGTAAATGCTCAATACGCCTGCAATGCCCAAATAGATACACGCCCAGCCCAGAAATCTTCAAAAATATCATACGCTCAAGGCAGCAGGAGCCGCCATCTCCTGCGGTGGGACGGCCACAGTTGCTTCTGGCTCCACTTCAGGCACCTTGACTCGCTTGGCCTCAGGCTCGTCATCATCCCGTTCCTTGCGCTTCTCCTTGCGCTCGACAGCATCGCTCTCCGGATTTGCTGCTTCCTTGACCCGAGCGCGCTTAGAAGCGCGCGATTCGTTCTGCGGTATGCCCAGATGCTCGTCGACAACGTTGGCCTGCTGTAGCAAGTCATCGACGTTCTCCAGGCCCAGCGCCTTGATGCAGTCCGTGTAGCACTTTGACTTGTTCATCGCCTGATACGCTTTCTCCTTCCCTGGTATCATCTGACTGAGCAGATACTTTGTGTTCCCCCACCGGTTCTCTACTTGTAGCGCGAAACGCATGTATTCGGTGACAACGGTCTTCCACTGCGACTTCCACTCGTGTGGCCCGCCTTCTGGGTCGGGTCGGAACACGCTGGGGTTCTTCTCGGCTGCGGTCGCGATCATTGCGCCGTCGACGTTGAACTCTTCCGCGAGCTTGAGGGCTTCGGTGCGCGATATGACGTCGCCGTTCATCAGGCATGCGACGCCTGCTTCGTGGCATATCTCTCCAATCATCTTGAGTTGGTCTCGAATCGCGCGCTCTCTGGGTCGCATGGGTGTGGTTCGACAGTGCACCGTGAGACCCGTGATGCCCGTGCGAACCAGTCTCTTCACCAACGCTGCTGTCTCTTCTGGCGTGTCCAGGATTCTGATCTTGACGCTGATGCCGATCTCGAATGGCTTTCCCACTTCTTCCACGAGGCTTGTCAGAATGTTGCAAAGCAGGTCTGGTGTCTTGAGCAACGCCGCGCCCATGCCACCTGAAGTCGAGAATGGCTTGGGGCAGCCAGAATTGACGTCAATGCCTGCAACATCCGCTGCGACCATCTTGGCTGCCTGGACTGCCAACTCCGGATTCGCCGTGCCAATCTGATATATGAGCTTTCCCTTCTCCAGCTCCGGATGTATGCGGTATAAGACGCTTTCGCGATTCTCGGGATCGAGGGTGGGGTTTTTGATCTTCGAAGTCGGCAGGCGCGAGAACTCCAGTGTGTTGGTGTGCGGGTTCAGTCGCTTCGTGGTGCCAATCATTGCGCGATCGATGGTTTCGGGTCCCCAGACCAAGTCGGCGCCGTACTTCAGCGCGAGGAGGCGTGAGGGCAGTTCACCGGAGCGCACCATGGGCGCAAGCACCACTTTGCCACGGTAATCGACGCCATTCTTGGGAATAGGCACGCGGGCGGGCTCGTTGGAGGCCATGACTCGTGTTATCGATCGTGATAGGGTTCGAAGCATAACATGCCTTCACAGGAAGAGGGCGGAGGATTGGGAAGTGAGTGGGGACGGAAATCGTAGCGGCGTTCTGAAAGTCCGGCGCACGTGCCTTCGTGGGTGGGGTTAGCGCGGGGGCGTCACTGCAGGTACAGCCTGACAGCCCTCACCATCTCCTTTACATAGCGAACTTTGCTGGACATCTCAGAGAAGACACCGAGGATCAGGCTTCTGCTTGGAGTATTAGTGCGGGGTTTCGAAGTTGGTAATCAGCTTTCACCTGCAACCTTCTATCAACTTCGAATCCTTTATGTCCTTTCGCGAGATCGCTGATTTATACAAACACGAACTCCCGCTCCTCGTCATTGGCCTCGTCAGTATTGCTATCTGCTCGGGTGTTCCCCTCGGCATGATTTCCATCAGCTTGTTCCTCCTCCAGAATACTCTCTTCGTTGTTCCCACAGTCCAGCGGATACACATAAGCATCGCCTACAAATTCCCAGATTTCCGGTTCGCCGTCCACAGCAGCATTGACTTTCCTGACCACGTGCAAGATCGGCGCTCCATTCAGCGCTATCAGAAGATCACCAGGTATCACGCCCGGAATCGTCGAGCTGAGATGCCCCTTCTTGGTCTTGAAGAGCTGCCTGAAACTGACCTTCTGCATGGCCTCCATGAACTTATACGCGTTTGCACATTGGTCTTCTGCTTCAAGAAACTGTTCAGAAACGTCTGTAGAGGTGCTAGACTCAAGGCATACATGATCTGACTTTGCTCTGCTTAAGTTGAATACATCAGCAGGTACCGATATATGCAAGAATGACCTACTTCAGGGTTGTTGGGTTTACATCAAGGCCTCTCAGTCGCCGTCCCATTGTCTGGAAGTCAAGATACCAATCGTGTTTTATAGTCTGGTCTAGGTAACGCCCGGGCTCTTGGTTGTCCACTAGCGCACGCCAGTATTCTTCATGGATTCCATCGCTTCCAATTCCAGCTCGTGGCCGTGTCAACGTGGGATCATTCATACCAGCAGCGACCGTCTGTTCCCAATTCGCGATAGCCAGCAGTTTTTCTCTCTGTTCTGATCGGGTATTGTGTTGGCTAGAATCAGGGAATGGCATCATTGCGAACACCTTGACGACTTCATCGTGTATTTTGCCCGTTAGCACCAGTTGTTCTTGTTTCACGCTTGGTCGCCAATGTAGCTTCTTCCTGATAGCGGCGTACCGAGAAGGTCTCTTGCGTTCATAACCCGCCTGAGAATTATTCCAGGGCGTTGAGCGATGGAGATCTGGTACCCAAGATGGTAGACCTTGGCGTTTGTCAAGCGCGAATGCCCAGCCGAGCCACATCCACAGCGTGCTATGTTCGTGCTTCCAAGCCATCTCCAATATGAACTTAGCGGCTCGAGTAAATAGGTCTTCGACTGAAAAATACTGTATCGCCGGATCGAGGCAAGTATATCTTAAATACCTCGGATCCATCAAGCCTAGCAGTCCTAAGACACGATCCTCAGGTCTGAGACATACTAGCGAACGCGACATGTTCATTGCGAGAGCCAGCATATGGATTTGATGGCCGGGTGGATTGTCAACGTCTTCGCTCCAACACAGCTGCACGACGGTTCGAACACAGAACATCGAGATTCTCCATAGCCCTCTCGCCATTCCAGTACGTACAGGCTCATCACGCAAAGGCAAAGGATTTTTAACTCCATCGAATTCTTTGTCAAAGAGTTGGCAAAGCACTGCATCCTTCATCGCGTTCTCCATGAGTTCCCAGCTGCATTTACTGTCGCCGCAGAGGAAGGTGACTTCTCGCGCTAATGCCGCCTCCTGTAGGACCCATAGTCTTCCAAACCAATCGTTGAGCACGAGGTGGCACAGCGCGGGCTTTGCATCCAAGGTATCGAAGGACAACTTCCCATAAAGTTCGTCAATGTTTCTGTGCTGTTGCCCTTCTTTCTCATCGCGCAGGTTCTCAAGAAAACGGAGAGCGTCAGGAATGCGGTCTTGGTGCTTTGTAGTACCAAGCCAAATCCAAACCTTTTTCGTTTGCTTGTAGACGCGATTCATTTCACGGATCTGCACCATCTTCTCTTCACGGTCTGCTTGGTTGATGCAGATGGCGTCAATCCAAATTGGCCGCACTTGTCCACCATCTCCGCGGCGAGCAAGGTACGGTAGTGCAGTATACAAATTGCGATGCACTTGCATAGCGCAACCGTTCAGGGTAATGCGGAGACGCTCAGAGTCAGAGCCCCAAACATAGGACAGCGCATCGAATTCCAAGTCGGACTGGCCGAGGCCAACCGTTTGTAGCCTCCAGGTATGGCCGTCCGCGGTCTTGTTGGAAGCGGCAGTGAGCAGGCGGATAGAGCCTGCGGGTAACGGATCGTAAACGAAAGGTGGTGGTTCTGCCATGTTGGATGCGGGAAGAGACAAGTGGAGCGTTGTGTTAGAGACTGGGTATCTGAAGTGCGGGGTGCGACTTCCGCATCCCGTGGAAGGTGGCACAGTCAAGAACCATGTTGACTAAGCTCGCTCATTGTTTGCATAGACATTTGACTCGTTCAATGGTAGTATCTACGACACCCAGATTGCCCTTAGCATATCAAACAAGAAAGAAACTGAACAGGCCTGCAGCCTACATTAAGATGAAATCATACAAGATATGTGACCTGGCGGCGATGTAGGCTCTAGACCTGTTCATTTTTCTTCTTACCGGTAAGTTCGTTCTCTGCCCAGAGTTTGGCGAGCGCATCCATAATTTTCGGTGGATCGACAATAACAGTCTTTGCGGCGCCATAGAACAGTGCTTTCGGAACGTCTGTGATGAGCACGACCTCATGCGGGCCGTCGCCATAACCATCAGTAATCTCCAAGCGCTCGAGATTGAGATTTCGACAAAGCCCAAATATCGACTTGTATTTGTCGATGTACATGTCCACGAACGTTACTTGGCGAAGTGTTTCTTTAAACAGCGCGATGAAATTAAGTAGTCTCGGGTGGTCGACTTTGGTGTCTCTGAATACGAGATTCGCCACAGTGGGTACGTCCATGGCCGATGGAAGCGGTCTGCCGCCGAGGGTACTTTGGTGAATGGAGCCGTCCAGAACGAGCGTATGTAATGCTGGAAAGGTGTCTCTGGTGATGGCCACGGTCGACAATGCTTCGAGTGGATTTTGCTGAAACCCACCCTCGCCAAACTCATCTCGGAGAATCAGGACCTCGACTTCGCTCGAGACCTTTTTGATGACTTGTATCGTAGCTTGTATCGTGAAGCAATGTAATCCGTTCATCTCCGTAACGAGTTCGAGTCTCTTGGGAAGAACGAGAGATTGCGCTAGGGCGCTGAGGAGGAGGTCTTGACCTATCTGGATGCCTGAGTGCTCATATATGTACCAAAATATGTCGACGTCCTTGATCATTGCCATTTCTCGAAAGACTTCGGTGAATCTGCCCGCGACTCTCCTGGCGCAGTAATGGATGTTGACGATATTCGGTAAAGCTTCCAGACACGATAGAACGAGTTGCCAAAGCTGACTGCTCCTAACAGCATCCTGGAGTGTACGTGCAGTACTGCTGTGATAGTCATCGGAAGACAACCATAGCTCCGGATACCAATCGAGCTCGCTCTTGATGATAGCTTGAGTCCTATTCAAAAGACCAGCTTCGAATACGTCTTCGTGCTTATAAACTCCACCAGTTTCCACGTTACCAACCTCTGGCAGGAGGTGCTCGGTGTAGCGAGAAGTGACGGTCAGTTTTCGAGCCCACGGGGTCAAATCCTTGCAATTCGCTAAGGCCACGAGGTTTTCCATGCTCTGCTTCGAGCATAGGTCGAAGGTGGTCTCGTCGGTTACTTTTGCAAGAGCCCGCCACGCGTGGTTGTAAATGGTGCGGCTCACGTATCTAAGCGCGAGTTTGGAAGCGCGGGGTTGCCCGCTGCGCGTTTCTTGCATACATCGTCTGTTGAGAGATACCGTTGTTTCCGTCAGTGCGGGTTGCACTTCGCGTACCGCTTCGAGCAGGATCCTTTCGAGGAGTTCAGCTGGTAGTGACTCCAGCCGGCTCGTTGCCTCTGCGTAGCGAGGAGTCGACATGGTTGCGGCCATTGAAGCTGGTGTCAGTTGCGAGGTCATGTAGCTGTGAGGGCGGGAGGTGAGCTTATTCAGTGTGCTGGGTGTCGAGTGTAGCTCAACTGTCGAGATCGCGCGCCTGAGGGAGGCGGCTACGTCAGGTGTGACCGTGCGCCTCCGCGGTGGAAGGAGCACCTCGTCGCACAGGCTCACCAAGATCACGCATAGAGTCAACACATTCAGCAGAAAGTCGATCGATGATCAATTACACCTCTACAACCTCGCCTTGACTGCCTCAGGATCTGCGACCTGTACCATGATTTTGCCTGCAGTTGTTAGTGACGTTGACTCTTTCAATGGTTATTGGACAGGCGTACCAGTGTTCTTTCCCTCGAACAGTCCCACTAGCGCGTCCTCGGCCTTGTTGATGCCTCCTTGGATAATTGTCTCTTTCCTTTTGAGCTTGCCCTCTGAGAGCCACTGAGCGAGCTGCTTCCTGGCCTCGGCGTACTTGTCCGCGAAGTCAAAGACGACGAAACCTTGCATACGAATGCGCATTGAGATGATCATCATGTAGTTCTGAGCTCGGTTAGCTGGGCGCATTACAACGACTTGAGAAGTTTGACATACCTTTGGCCCTTGAGGCTTCTTCTTGTTGTATTCGGAGATGGCACCGCACATGACGAAGCGCGCGAAAGGCTTCGCTCGGGAGAGCGCAAGGTCAAGGATCTCTCCGCCTACATTGTCGAAGTACACGTCGATTAGACCCTTGGTTGCAGCCCTGAACTTCTTTGCAAACTCCGGGTCCTTGTAATTCAGCGCCTCGTCAAAGCCGAGTTCCTCCTTCAACCATGACACTTTGCTGTCCTCACCAGCGAGACCCAAAACCTTGGCGCCCTTCAGCTTCGCGATTTGACCGACCACACTTCCAGTAGCGCCAGCTGCACCGCTGACGACTACAAAGTCTCCAGCTTTGACCTGGCCAATTTCTAGGAGTCCAAAGTAGGCGGTAAGGCCGGTCATTCCCAATACGCCCAGCGCATCGGTTGGTACAGCCCCCTCCGGCAGATCCAACGACTCAACATGCTTCTCATTCAGCACCGAGTACTCGGACCATCCGCACATACCAGTCGCGTAGGTACCGACGGGGAATTTCTTGCTCTTACTCGCAACGATAAGGCCAATACCGCTACCACGCATGACGGCACCAATCTCAACCGGAGGAATGTAAGAACGCGTTGGGTTCAGCCAGCCGCGCATAGCCGGGTCAAGTGATAGGTAGAGTGTCTGGAAAAGTACCTCGCCATCTTTTAGTGACGATGCCGATGGAACTTCTTGCTGCTTTGGTGTGAAGGTTTTGCCGGCGACAACAGCGTCCACTGGCCGTTCGGCAAGGTGGATCGATGTATATGAAGGCATGATGATGGAGTTGATGAATTGATGGCACGCTTCGGAATGATTTGGCCGACTTTCGCGGTAGTGATTTGGGGAACGAGACGAGAAAGCAAGGTTCTTTTGAATGGAGATGGATGGTATAGGAAGTCAAAAGTAAAGACAGCTCGGTCGCGTTTGTAGTTCGTGTCCGCACAGATCCTCCACAGGTGTTCTGCGGAGAAGATACCGAGGCTCGGGTGGTCGTTTCCCGATTAGGACCGCTACATAATCCAAGGGCCGAACAAAGGAATCTCAACGGCCGTAAGAGTTACTAATCTTCAGTTTGAACGACCGATTGCGTATGTTTTCAGAGCTGACAATCTCAGACTTCCAGGTATATCTCGAGATGCTCCATAATTTGGGTAGAACTCCACTAGAGTGTCGATGGCCTGCTTCTATGGGCGCATGTTCACGTCAACACGTGCATGAACTGGTCACCTTCTCAATGTAATAATAAGTTGCGGAACAGAACTATAGACCATTCCCTACACGTGAAACGATTTCATGGAGATATGACTTGTAGATGCGATGATTGTTGAGTTCGAGAGCAAGCGACGGCAGATGCCAAGCCACTACGAGCGCCTGACTAAGCGAATCTTGAGCTCAGCATCATCGCGAAACCCAGCGGTACCAACGACCGCCAGTAACCTCACGATGCAGTCACTACGCAGAACAGCAGTGGCTGCTTCCCGGACGAGCCGCACCTCACTCCCGCGCCAGTCGCGCCGCTTCGCACACGATGAGCACGCTCACGGCCACCCGACCCCAGCCGCCGACGAGCCCATGGGCGTACGTCAACCGCCCTTTACCCCTCCCAGACGGACCTGGAATTCTCTCAAATGATCGCAGCACTACACGAAGAATATTGCTGACTCAATTGGCATGTAGTATGGCTTCTTCATGACTATTGGAGTCATCCCCGTTGGAATCGCCGTATACGCCTTGTCGCGACCGGACGGCGAGAACAACGAGCCCTACATTACCCGCATGATCTCCAATGCGACGGCTGGACTACATGAGAAGTGGACTTCGCAGAACGACCACCACGTGCGCATGATCGAACAGGCGGGTGAGGACAGGGTGCTGTTCGCGAACACACGGCCTCAGGAATACGTCGACATGAAGTTTCCCGAGTACGTATACCCGGAATAAGGCATACAGCCCTATACGAGGAGGAACTATGACTTGGAATGAAGGCGAATCAGCGCACATGGAAGGTGGATTGGTATGGAAGCCGCAGGCTAACGAATACAGGATCATGAACGTCGGATCGCCATACAACGTCCCCGCCGGAAGCCAAGTGCAAATGGACAAGGTTATCGAGAAGTACAAGAAGCTGGCGTACGAGGACAATGAGCGCAAGCTGGAGAAGTTGAGGAATAACGACATCTCGTCCGAGACGCCCGTGACAGGCCCAAAGACTCGCGTCAAGAAGGCGCCTGACATGTTCTAGATGGAGATGAATTTGGCTCGCTAGATGTACATACTCAAGGAATGATATCCGTTTCATTTGTAGTGTCTGTTACTGTGCTTTGACAGTCGGTCTTTGGTATTCAGTATCGCATCGCTATTCCACAATTGTCTCCTGGCCGCCCTGATTCATTGTCAGACAGCCTACCTTCGGTCTATACGGTGGTAAGGCACACGATCGACCAAGAAACTGACTTGTCCATGACCACATCCAGCCTCAATCTACAGAAACATCTTTCAGCCATAGACCACCAACGAAACCGTCTTCTTACAGGACATTTGACGTAACGCTTAGGTTCATTGATGGACGACGTCCAAAAGGCAAGACGTGGAAGTGCGTTCAGTTCGCCTCTGCGCAAGTTATGAGCTCCTTGTGCTGCTGGGGTAGTTCTCACCAGCAGAGCTGATGCTTTTGGAGAAGTCTTTGGTCTTAGCGTGCTGCGCTCTTCTCTCAGCGGTTGGGTCTATTCATAGAGACAGTACCAGGCCCATCTGCATGGAGGGTGACGGCCGTTGTTACAAGTGAATATCACGTCCAACCATGTTACACAGTGACTCCCAGCACAGTCATGCTGGGGGCGGTGAGGCTTAGCCACGTTGGTAGGGCAATGTGGGGTATACTGCCTGCGATATTAGTGTGACGGAGGGAGCAGGCAGACTTGCGGGTTACAGTAGGCTCAATATTTTGATACATGAGCATCATTGTGATGGCTGCTGGTGGTGGAATTCGTTGCGAAAGCATCGAATCTTGGAGTACCAAGGACTCCCCAACATACTCGTATGATTCGCAATGTCCCGGCACGAACGCGTTCATGCTGACGAGCCTAGCAGTCTTACGGTGTTTCGTGCGGGAAACGCACACGTCACGTTCCGTAGGGCAGTTGCTAGGGTTCCGCCCCACTTGACAGCGGGTTCCTGAACGGGGATCATCGCTGATTGGCGAACTGCTACACCAGCATTACCAGACCACGATGAATCCAAGCTGAAGTGAAGGGGAGGTTTGTAGGCGCCTCAAAGGGCTAGACTAGTTTTCACTGCAAAATGCATTGCTTTTGACTTGGCCGCTCCTGTTGCTCGTGATATAACGACCGTTTGGAACCTCATCCGCCCAACCTCGCCGCCTGCCAGATACCAACGAGTGAAGAACAATAGAGGTTGCTAACGATTTGTGAAGATCCGCCGGAGCACGACAAGACCATCAGCAAGGTATGAGTCCCCCTCAACCCAGTCATCTGTTGGTAGTGCGCAATCTCCGCTAGATTGCTGCAGTTGCATTCTTTTTCGTGCCTTTTCGTGGGCAATTGCTGAGCAGCAGCACTGGATCTTGGTCGACGGCTCTCGAAAAACCAAAACTAATCCAGAGACAGATGTCCAGTCCTGCCGCGTTGCGCACTCGAAGCATGCCGCTCCTTCCCTTTCGCAGAAGGAAGGTAGTCGCGGCCGCTACGGCTCCAGGTAAGTTAGCGCTAGGGTGGACCCCTGGCGTGCCCAAACACAGCGCATCACCCATCGTCCTGATTGACGCGCCGCATAAACATCTTTCCTGTCCGCGCTGCGCTGCACAATTGCATTGTTTGGCCCCCCGATGCCGCTTCCTGAAACGCGCCTTCACAACGTTGGATGCTAACCCTCTCAAGACTCGGCCCCATTGCTCCCCGAACTCAACTTCACCGCCCGCAAGAGGAATGACATGAACGGGTCAGCTTGGACCACCGACGACACTTCTCGCACTGCGAACGCCGCACCAGCACGCACGACCTCGACCACCACCATGCCCTCGTACACATCGCCCCGCAACGTCTCAGGCCCGCTAGCTGTCGACAAAGCCGCCATGGCTGCCGCCGCCGATGAGAACAGCCCGTGGGCCCGCCCCAACCACTACAGCACCCCCAACTCAAAGACGTCACAGTATATTGATAAGATCACACAAGAGAACGACCGCCTGCGACGAGAACTCAGGGCCGAGAAGCTCGCAAGAGAAGATGAGGCCAAGCGTTGGTCGGCTGCGCAAACCAAAGCCGAAGACTCCCGCGCCGAGCACCAACATCTCCAAGTGCTTGCCGACACCAATGCGCGAGCCATAGAGCGGAAAGACCGCAAGCTCGAAGAACTCAAAGCCACACTCGACGCCGAAATACAAAGAAGGAAGTCCGCCGAACAGCGAGCCGAAGAAGCGCTGCGGATGCTGGGCGACACACGATCCGAGACGCAACGACAGCTTTCGCAAGCATACGAGATGAGGGGCATGGCAGACACGAATCTCGAAACCGCACGAGACGGCTTCAAGCGCATCACCGACGGCTACGAGAAGAAGGTCCGCCAAATCAACGATGAGCTCAACGAGCTACGCAGAAAGCGCCTCGAAGACGCCGATAAGATCAAGCGACAAGCCATCATCAGCGACCAGCTACAACACGAATCTTCGCGATCCACACGGGCCGAGGCCAAGCTCGTCAATCTGATGGAGGTGTACAAGAAAGAGCACCGGAAAGAGATGGATGGTCTTATACAGGAAGCAGAGAGGCTGCGACGCGCACTGCCAGAGAAGGAGCGCGAGGCACAGAAACTTGTCGATTCGTTGGAGCAAACCCGCGATAAGATGCGATGGGTCATGACTCAACATGAACGGCAAACTGGGGGGAAATGAACGCTTCATCGCGTACTCCACACGTCACCCAATAACCCGGTAAAGGGGGCATCGAGCGAGACGCGATATAGGACCGAGCCAGCATGCGCACCAAGCACGATCCGGCCTCTGCGGTCCCACACAATACGACTATAATGACCAAGCTTTGTTTCCTGGGCTAAATGGCAATCTGTAATATATTTGGATATGGCGTTGAGGTTTGGCATACATCACCACATATGCTGGGATGAATAGGCGTTTATTGGAGATCGTAGTCAGGCTTGACATTCTGACATTGCACGCGCCGGACACTGTTCGGCTGTTTTCCGATCCAGCTATCTCACTTAATTCATCCGTGTATTTGCATGTCACACAGTGCTAATCAGTCATACTTCCATCTCTATTGCTAACACTCAAATCGTGAATTGGTCACTTCAACAGGCTGCGATCGATTTTGCCGTGGCCGCAGTTGCGTCAGCCGCTGCTGATTCTTTGGCGCTCTTTCCCGGACCCTGAGGCGCCAAGCAAAGCTCCATCGGCCCCTTCCACGCTCAGCTTCGTTTACATCACATTCGAAAACGTCGTCATGGCGCGAGATGGCGCCATCACGTCAATCCCACAGGAACTCAGAGTATCGTGGGTGCGCTTCAATATTTACGGACTCTCACAATTGTCGGTGACCTGCACTTCACGAACCGCTCTTTCACTCTGCACTATCCACTGAGGGCATGAAGGTAAGAGTAGCCACATCCAGAATAGGCACCCACTGATCACCAAGTTGACACACATAGATTGAGCTCGAGTCTACCGCTCACACCAGCACTAAGCCACATGGGACCGTCTGAGTTGATTACAGATCCACCAATCCAAGTACAAGTACAACGTTACT